AACATGTAATAGCTTACTATTTAGTCAAGGGCACTGACCTCTTTTTCCTTAGACTGTCAAATAGAAAAGTGACAACAGCCAACACAGCAACAGCCATGTGGTGTGAATACCCTGCCTTGAACCATAAATGCCTGGTCATATAATAGACTTGCATCTTATCGGTAATGTCGTATAATAAGGTTGCCTCTGATTGATTCATTCCTGGTACCAGAAATCTTTACATACATGTATAGGCCCCTAATTTTTTAAAAAGTAACTTTGGAGCAAAAAGGATAGGTGATTATTATTATTAACTTTTTGTAAATTAATCAACATTATACCTATTTCTTTTTGTCAGATCAGAAAAACATACAGTATATTTTTGGGTATGCCAAAGAAATTTAGTAATCAGTTTTGTGTGTGCCATGAAATGAAAAATATTGAAAATCATTGATCTAGTATGTAAAAGGCATGTAGCCCTCTGCAGTTCATGAGAGTGTCATCACATAAATAGTCGTTTCTAAATTTAGGAGCCACCCATTGAGGAAGACTTAGTTTCCCCCATTTTACCTCTAAAATACTGGTTGAAGACTTCTGGCCAGGCTCACATTACAGTAGTTATAGTGTCTGGATGTTAATCTAAAACTTGTGATTCCAAAAATTAAAACTACCTGCTCTTTCCCTATGATAAGTCACATGGAAAAGGTTAACTCCTCATTTTTAATGTTCTTTCTAGGACTTGAGGAAAGATCTGTTCCTCAGGTACCTCTTTATTAATGTCTTTTAGGAGAACCTAAACTCTTCATCCACCTCATTAATTTTCTTGCATAAAAACACTATATGTCAAGATAGCTTTAGATCATCTTCAACTATTATCAACCAAGTTTGACTGAATTCAGTAAGAAAACCAAAAGGGATATAAATTTCACAGATAATCAATATGAAAAAGAATGTTTGCAGGAAAATAAGTTGCAAGTCAACCATGTTGACGTCTAGCTGCTTGAGGAAAGCAGGTATAGAGTGGGCAACTATCAAATCATTCATGATGAATACTGATGCCAAGTAGGAGGAAAGGAGTTTCTATAAGAATGACACCAAGGTTTGCTTGGGTGTCACTCCTGGACCCTGATTTTAGCCTGACTTTCTGACTCTCCAGAGATACTAAGATAATTTTACTAATTCCCTTCCTACTTAAGCCAATTGCAGCAGACACTGCTATAACTCTACTGAACACCAAATTCTTCCTTTTACTTATTAGAAAAAAAAATGTGTTTCTTTTTTTCATTGGCAATGTATCAATTTAAAAAATAGCCAATATGTTCCATCTTTCTTACAGCCATGGGTGGTCAATGAGATTCAAGTTGAAGTCTCCTTAGAGACTACTGGGAATGGTTTGTCTTTCAAATATAGGTACTGTCCTTTTTTGGTATTTTTTCCTTCTCCTTTCTGCCTAAAAATTAGATGGAATTCTGTAAACTGGATAGGTTTCTTGAAATAATGAGGAAATCAGGGGAATTAAACTATAGGCTAAGGACAATGAAGCAGAAAGACAGGAGGAGCCTTAAATGCTAACATTTTTAAAGCTCCTGTACCATTACTGTATCCCTTATATACAGATGTTTATTTATCTAAGAAACAAGCTTTTTTTTAGTTAAACCACTAGAACCAAACTTTTCATCATTGCAGGCAATACACTATCAAAAAAAAAACAAAAAACAAAAAAAACCACTTTTTTTCCAGTTAGGGAATCTTTACATTTTATGCATGTAGACAGAAAATATAAATGTGTATGATTTATTGACATTAGTTTCCATTCCACCACTATTTGACTTAGGGCAAGTGATTTTAATTTTCAGGATCTTAGCATTCAAAGATCTGGTAAACTTAAGTAATATTTAAGGGATTTTTTTTCTTCCAAAGTTCTAGAATTCCATGAAATGTCCAAAAGTAATTGAAAAAAAGGATTTCTTCACATGTAACTGCTCTGTAAATTGAATCAGTTATAGCTGAGAGAAGAGACTGAAAATATTTTAGAGAGATTACTAAGAATTTGATTTTGTATAAACTGGGAGGATTTGGGACAGGACTTCATACATTCAACAACTGGGAACCAAGTGGAACATACATTTAATTAGAGATAAAAATACAGAAATATTGTTTTTAAATGAGCTTAAGAAAAAAAATTAGGACAGAGTGCTAGAGGGTAATAAGATTTCTGAGGGGATTATCATACAGAGGATAAAGGCAGGATGTCAGAAACTGCTCTTTCACGTGAAATTGAAGTTGGCTAAGTGCCATATTGGTCACATAGGCTAGAGGATGCTGACACTACTTTGAACATTCATCATTTATTGGGAAAAGATTTATTGATGATACACTACATGAAAATACTGTGTAGAAATACAATAGAGTTTACAGAGAAAAATATCATCTTGTTCAACTGCTTTCAATCTGTCAAAATGGTAGGGCAGTTTGTTTGTTTTTTCTTTTTAATTTTTTATTGTATTTTTTCCATTACCTTTTAGTCCCCTTATACCTCTTCTCCCCTACAATCACCACACTGTCATCCATGTCCACAAGTCTTTCCTTTTTCCTTTTTCCTTTTTGCTCAGTCTCTCCACCCCTCTTAGCTATCGTCCTGTCTCTGTAAGTCTATAAATGAGTCTTTCTCTACTTTGCTTGTTAGTTCAGTTTATTCTTTAGATTCCTTACCTGAGTGAAATAATATGGTATTTGTCTTTCTCTGACTGGCTTATTTCACTTAGCATAATGTTGGAGACGTCCATCCATACTGTCACAAAGGGTAAAATTTTCTTCTTTTTTACGGCCAAGTAGTATTTCATTGTGTAAATGTCCCATAGTTGTTTTATCCACTCATCTACTGATGGGAACTTGGACAGCTTCCATATCTTGGTGATTATAAATAATACTGTAGTGAATATAGGGTGCTTATGTTCTTTTGAACTAGTGTTTTGGGTTCCTTCAAATATATTCCCAGAAATGGGATAGCTGGGTCATAAGGCAGATCCATTTTTAATTTTTGGAGGAATCTCTATACTGCTTTCCACAGTGGATGCACCAGTCTACACAGTTTGCATTCCTGCCAGTAGTGCAAAAGCATTCCCCTTTCCCCACATCCTTGCCAGCACGTATTGTTTGTTGATTTATTGATAGCCATTCTGACTGGTGTGAGATGATATCTCAAAAAGGAAAACATCAACGAAATAAAAACCCACAGAATGGGAGAACATATTTGCCAATGTATCTGATAAGGGATTAATATCCAAAATTTATAAGGAACTTAGAAAATCAACACCAAAAAAACAAACAACCCAAATTAAAAAAAAATGGGCAAAGGACTTGAATAGACACTTCTCTGAAGAGGCAAATGGCCAATAGACAAAAAGATGCTCAACGTCACTAATCGTCAGAGAATGCCAGTTCATTAAAAAAAAAATAGTATGGAATGGTATAGACGTATACAATCTGGGTAAACTACATTTGGTTTGCCAAGGACCATTCTGGGTTAACCATGTTGTTCTGGCTTAATTTTTGGCATTGTTCTCTTCTGTACTCAAAAGTGCCCCAAAAATGGTTATACAGCTTTAAAATTGAAATTTTATTTCATATACTTATCAATTCAAAGTATTTATTTTTACTCCCATTGCCTTTTACTATAACATAAGAAAAATGTTTCAGGCTCTAAATTTACCTTTGTTCTGTTCTCTTCCATTCTCCAACTATTTTTTTTTCATTCTACCTAGTTATTAGCAACACACACACAAATAAAAAGAATGTAAACAGAATCTGAAGCAGCATTTTCAAAAATAGTTCTAGAAATTGTTCACTATAGCACCTTTAAAATATATTGAATAAGACTAAGTAAAAAATAAATAAAATAAAAGAGTAAATCCAAAGGACAAAATAAACCTGTTGGTCACACACGAGAATTATTAATAGGCTGGAGATTCAGAGATTAAGAGCACTATATTTGCCTAAGAAAAATGCTATTAATGTGCTCTCTGATTATAAAAGATAAAACTTTGCTCTTGTTATAAATGACATTTGCCTAATAAATTTATAATACTCCATTTTAGATTATTGGTGGTGGTATCAGTTCTTCTGGCAGGAGCTGACATCCAGAAGTCACTAACAGGTGATAATGATTTAACAGCAACAACAAATACTACGTTAGAGTGATGTGCGCTGATCCTGAATGAGTAGTACACAGCAGGGAAATAACTGACTGACCTGTGGTCATAGGGCTCATTCTTCTACATAGGGAACACTGTTTAGGGCCACTCATAAACTTCTATGGTTGGTTTTAGCATTCTCTTTATCTGATTCTGTTAATGGAAGAATGAAAATGCTTTACATATTCTTGGCACCCACTAGAGAAATCATGTTCTTCTCTAATAATAATGGGAAGGGCTGTAATTAAAAGCACAGAGGTTTTGCTCCTTTCCAGTAATTTCACTTAGCATAAGTCTGCTATAGTAAAACCATTTATCTATGGTTTGTTGAGACATAATTATAAGAGACTTAAAAAAGCAGTTTTGGTTAATAATGTAGCACTATAAATTGAACAGGATTAATCTACTCCATTATTCTCTGCTTCAAAAGGAATGGGAAAGAGCAAGACAACAGAGCAAGGAGATTTTCCAGTTTTCTACTGAAATAAGTCACCCTGCTTTAATCATTACTACCCAAGTGAACTAGAGATTTATAAATCAATCATCAATGCTAAAAAAAAATGTTTCCAGGTTCAGACACAAATTATGAAAAGATTACCAAAAAAGTGTAATTTTGTGGATTTAATAAAAGATTAACTAGGAGTAGAACTTTGATTGAAAATAAAGTCTGGTTAAAAACAAACTATAAAATAAAATTTTTTGTCTCCATCTATTCTTGAGGAATTTGTCTCTCAATACTTAAAAAGATTATTTCCAAAGGTAGAGTCTAAATGTGGCAGAGTAAGAATTTTACCCTTATCTCTCTGATATCTCAGCTATGAGGTTCAGATCTTTTTGTAGTTTATAAACATGATGATTGAGTGTTCACACTCTTGTGTGAGAAGTGCCTCCCTCAAATCCTGTTATGACATTGGCACATTACCTGGCTGACATAAAAAAATAAAAATTAAAGTTTTATTCTCTTCTTTGTCAATCAAAGCCTTCCATCATTAGGACCATTTCAGCTTGCACATGGTTGACTGGTTAACTTAATTGATGTCCCAATATAATTGTTCCTTGACATATGGAATCCAGCACAGTTCATCTTTACTTTAAGGAAGGACTCTCTGGACTTCACATCAGGTTATTCTATCATTTTCATGTTCTTCATCTTGCAAATCTCAACCTTCCAGTTCCATTGCTGTAGCCTTTTCTTCTTTTAAATCCTCTATAGCTATTTCCAAATACAGCAATGAGTCAATGATGTTTAATTACCCTTTTCCTTGACCCTTCTCTAGTCCATTTCTTCAAAAGCCTTGTCTATGTTTAATCTGTTTTCTTCACTCTGTCTAGACTCACTGTTTAATGATTTCAGATAATTCCTAATTCTTACCTAGCATAATTTGGTGAAAGTGCACCAAACATAAAATATGATATATACAGGTTAAAGTCCTATTTATGCCCTTTAGAAACTGTGACTTTCTCTAAGGCACCATGGTTTCTCAACTTTAGATAAAAAACTCATCTTTTGTAAAATGGAAATTTTGTCTACCTCTGAACATTTTATGATTAAATGAGGTAATGTGTAAAGTTGATCAGTAGATATAGAGACTAAATAAAGGTTAATCTTCCTGTTCTTCCTTTTCTTTGTCCTTCTTAAGAATTCATATTGCTGATCCAAACTAACCTATTAGCTTCTGCAACTGTGCTATCTGGCCTCAACTTAACAATTCCAATAAAGCTTGAAATTCCTTTCACTGCTCTCCAGGCTGTTCCTTTTAGCATCCCTTCCTGTAATTATTATAAGTTCTTATTAAATTTTACAATCCCCATCACTGTCTGTTTCTCTCAATCCTAGCAAATTATCTTGCTTCATCCTCTCAGAATCAACAGGCCATGAAACACAAACTCCTTCAATTTTCCTCTTCCCACATCCAAACTCTTCTCTCTATCTACCTATCTACAACCTATTATTTTTCCTCACACCTAACTCTTCTTTCTTTTATGTCTCAAAAGATGTCCCACTTCACCTACGAGAAAGATAGCTCCATACAAGTGAATGATTTCATTCACCTTTTTCTCTATCTTGGATCCTGCTTGATTAATGATGACCCTTTTTTCTTAAACTTTGCACTTTTATTCTCAGGATACTAAACGTATTTATTATTTCCTAGTTAAAGATATTTTCTTGGTCATGTATTCCTCCCATACCATAATCCTTGATCTATAATTCACTTTACTGCCTAAGTCCTTGAAAGAACAAGCATTTATTTGCTTTATCACTTACTATTTCCTATTTAATCTGCAGAGATTACTTTTGCCTTCATTTTTTAATAAATTTTTTTATTTTAGCAAAACGCTTCTTAATTTCAGAATTTTCTAGCTATTCTTAATTTATTATTTTTTTGATCTCTCAGGGGTATTGGCCACTCTTGTCTTATTAAGAGTATTTCTCCCCCTTGACCTCAAGATACAGATCTCTTCCTAAGAATATTGACTATTGCCTCTTCTTCCTTCATTATACCATACATCTTTACTCAGCTTGAAACTGTTTTGTTTCCTAATTCCATTTTTGATCTTCTCACATTATATATATTTCTTTCTCAAGATTATATTCATGCTTATGAATTCAACGGCCAAATATAAAAGTTGAGAATATGCATATTTGCAGTTTGCCCTTATTTATTCTTCAGGTAAATGTGTTACTACTAGTATTAGACATCTGAAACTGGATTTTCTCTAATTGATTAAAGGATCTCCATTAATCAAGTCAAACCAGTATAAAAACTTGCCATAACACTCTTTGAGTACATAAGGAATATCCATGTTAGAGTCTGAGTCCAAGAAGCTAGGGAGAGACCAGTGGTCCTGTCTCCAGATAATCAAGAGGAAAAAATGTGGTGAGACTGGGTCAAAACCAAAAGGCATACCATAAATCAAGTCTAAGAAAAAAATTTTTTAATGCACATGACAAAACTATCCAGAAAATTCTTGGGTGGTTGCTTACAATGATATAGAAATGTGCATGGTTTGTGGTTGATACCAGCAGTCAAACTGTTCATGGGTAGACCTTCTTGACCTAAAGATAGACTCAGTGAACACCGGTCCTTGGTCCAATTACCAAATACACTTAGTCTTACCACCTAAATATATCTCAGACCAATTCTCTTCTTTCCATCCCATTGTCACTGTTTCAGTTCAGGTCATCATCGTTTGTCACATTCACCATTGCAAGTAGCCAGCTAATCCATCTCCCTCGTCTCTCTGCTACTGATATGTCTCATGTCTAATAAATTTTCCACACTGCCTTCAGAGTAATCTTTCTACAATACAAACCTGGTCAAGTCAATTCATTGCTGTAAAAGTCTTCTGCTGAAATGTCAAAGCTCATATCCCTTAGTATGTCAAGTAAGAATATTGACAAACTCGTGCCTGACCACGTTTCTAGGCTTAGTTCCAACTGCTCATGTCAACTGTGTTCCTGTTCTCTGGTCATGACATTCTTTCACACTTCTGTAATCCCCACTGGTTCTTACTTCTTTGTCTGAAAATCCATGTTTTACTCATTGAAATAGCAGTGATTCCTTAGTTTTCTTAACTGGAATATTACGTCTTTGACATGGCTACCTGTATTATGTTGCAAGTACCACGACTTAATATTGTCATAATTAAGTATAATATCCTTAAGTCTCTGTGACCTACTTGAGGTTAGGGACAATGCTTGTTCACATTTGCCCATCCCATATTTAGATCTGTGGTTAACACCAATAAATGCTGAAAAATATTTGTAGTTTGTTTGGTTGGTTGGATGGCTGGCTGGCTGGCTGGCTGGCTGAATTGATCAGCAACAAGTTGTTGTAAAAATTACTATATCCAGTATAAATTCTAAGCTTGTTTGAGTATATTTAACTATGAAAAATGTACTTAATACTTTCAAAAGAAGTCTCACAATAAAGCACAGAGAGTGTAAAGCACAGCCCCGAAGAAGCTTTACTTTCAGACACTGGATGACAAGATCAATGATAGCAATGCTTCTTCCAACTGTTATTTAAAAAATTAAATACTATCTTAATATAAAATAATTATAACTTCTCCCAGTAATTATAGCTTAAAAACTGCATTAATGCAGACTCATGATATAAATTAATATCTGGCAACTAATCAGTAATTATGAAAGTACTGAAACAGTTGAATAATGACCCTGTTCTCCCTTGCCCCTCTCGATAATTAGTAGTATCTTTTATGTTGTGTGTTGAGCATCAGAAGTTATCATCTGGCACAGTCTAGAAGTGACAGGGGAAACTTGTTTTATGCTGTTGTTTCATCCTATGCTCAGATCTCAGTTTCTTGCCTGATACTCATCCAGCCTGTATCCCAATCTGGTTGGTGAGGCACTGAGGCCTCAACAATCTTTTACCAGCTTTCTTTCACTTTGGCTGAATGGACAGATCATTCAAATTAAATCTCTCTTGCCTACTCCAATAGTTTTAACAGCACTTGCCACCTGAAGCCTTCTTGGGCTCTGTATCATCTCACTGTTTCAGTATAATTGTTTGTTTAATAAAGTTTGTGTCTTGTCTTACCTTTGGATACTCTGTATGTGAAGCTGAATACTCCCTAAAGTGCCAGTTTTAGAATCTAGATGTGTCTTTAGGCCCCCTTTTCAGTTTACATCGAGTTTTCATTGGTTCTCAATGAAAGGAGGGTGGGCATATCATCTCCAGACAGGCATTTGGCAATGTACGGAGAAATTTTTTGGTGCTTACTACAGGGAATGTTACTGGCATCTTGTGGAAACAGGGATGCTGTCAAACATCCTGCAATGCGCAGGACAGACCCTAGCTCCACCCTACAATAAAGAATTATCTGGGCCACAATGTCAGTAGTGTTGAGGTTGAAAAATCCTGCATCTAGCATTTTTTCCTTCCTACTTGTGCTTAAAGTATTAATATTCTCAAGACTGTGCTGACCTAAGTTATAAAACCAGAGCAGGAAACTTATAAAGTTTGCCAAATTTTGATACTATAATCTAGTCACTTGGACTCTTTTTTGCCCAGATTTCCTATCTTGATAAAATAGCAGCTGACCATTCCTCTTCTACAGAGTGCCCTAGAGGTTTAATAAATCCATTTTAATGAGGTGCTTTGCCATCCCTGGGTGAAAAATGCTCCACAAGTATTATTCCCATCACAAGAAAGAGCAATGATTGCTTTGCAGATTGGCACACGAAGTTCATTCCTGCAATGCACCTCCATCCCACAGCTCCAAAAAGTACAAAATTTGCTCATAAAAAATAGAAGTAGACTGACAACATTAGCATTTTTTTTCACATCTGTCAGAAGTAGAGTCACTGAAGAATAAGATGTCTGGTGGCTGTATCTCTAAATTACCCAGTGCATCAGCCACCATGGTTGCTGAATCCTTTGCTTGGTTTATAGGATCCCCTGATGTATAAAAAGCAGGCAGTGAGTGGCGATTACACCAATGTCACAAAAAGGGGTTTTAAAGAGTCCTTAGTGTACCCACCAAAAATTTCAAACTAGGAAATGTAGCTTATAAGACAGTAAAGACCAGGAGGGAAAACATTAAGAACGTTGTCTCCTTTGAGTTCAGTAAAAGGCATAGGTTCACCGCCTGATAGGACTTCCGTGTTGATTCTGTTGCCTATATATGAGTGCCTAGATAAGTTAAGTTTGCTTTCCTTTCCAAATAACCTTTGACTAAATGACACTTTAAGAAACTAAATTTAATTTTTTAGTCATTTTTAATTTTACCTATAAAGACATTAATACAAGACTAACATAATTTCCCTTTCATACATACATTAATTAATTAATTATAATCTGACAATTGCAATCATGGTGAATTTTAGTTTTATTGCCTTTTAAATAATTTAATTATCATTTTAATAAATTGAAGTACTCAATTCATTCATTTATTTTTTTCATTCATT